TCCCTCTTCAACTGCCTCCAAGTATGTGTATGGCAAAGCCAAAGGAAGGCACTGAACCCCACACCATCAAAAAGCTGTCAAAGCTTATGGTTAAACAACAAACTTGTATGCTGCAAAGTCCCATACAGAGTGAAGCAGTCACTATTGAGTTAGTTGCCATAAAGAAAGAAAAATAGGATACACATATTCATTCATTCTTGAATGGTTTAATACAGTGGCACTTACATGTGATTCAGTTATACCACAAAATGGGGCAGTTTGGTACAACTTATATTTGAGTATTTGTGTTGCAGAAAACCTTTGAATACATTCTTATGAAGAAATATTCTAATTTTCTTTTGTTTAAATTTTTTTTAGTAGTTTGGCCCCATGGTAACTTTGATGATAATGAATTCCTTAAAAAGAATAAATTGCAAAACCAGTGTAGGAAAGCAGTTTGTATATTTAGAATGTGTTTTTGTTTCTTTCCCCTCTTCACTCCAAAAACCAAGACATCCAATTTTGAAAGATGCAGACTCTGATGTACTTACAGTTACAACTAGTAAATACAAACTTGCATGTGTACACCATAACCAAACTAACTAGACTTTTGATAACAGATTGGTACAAGTAAAGTTTTAAAGTTCTGTGAGAGAGCCAGGTAACACTATGAACATGAAATAAATAGACAATTAAATAATGATGAAATCACTATAAAATATATAAAATGAACAAAGTAACAAAAAATATATATAAAAAAAATCTCTGATTAGAGGAATTAAACTTTGCATGTAGACTTTTTGGACAAAGCTTTTAAACCATCTCATAGTGACCCCTCCCTCCTCCCATATAAAGCTACATCTCCCAGCTTCAGATGGGCCAAAGTCAACTTTGCCTCAAGCAAATGGCTTGTCTTTCCAGGGAGCAGCTCTGATGGATGGATGGATGGTCAGAATGGATAGACTACATGGGGGGAATTGATGCAAGGGACTGACAAAAGCACTACCACAACCTCATATTCAGGATGTGGATGTACTTGAGGATGAATGTCTACGTTTATCAACGCAAGGTACAGAAAATGAGGGGAAAGGAGAATAGGTGCTCAGAACTGATGAGAGGAATGTTAACCCTAATTCTACTCCAAAACGTTCCGCCATCCAATTTCAAGGGCTCTAAAGATTCATCTCCATTTCATCCATATGCTCAACCCTAGAAATCACCACTTCTCCCAGGAGGAGAGGGGATTGACCTTGACTGACAATGGAAAGGCAGATGCTATGAGCCACTGGTAGCCAATGCTGATCATGTCCTGGACTACCCCACACTTGGTCACATGGTTCACCCCATAAATCCTGGCCTTCCATGCCCTATCATCATCACTATCATCCTCACCATTATGTTATTTCTCTTTACATTTTAGTGCATTAGGGTGAAGGAAAAAATTAATTAACAAATTGTGTAGCAGTTGAGTAATGCCCATTCTCCCACACAACCCTCACTGCACAAGATGGAAAATAACAACCCCCATCATGGCATGGAATGAAATGTGCATCCATGATGGTGGGCCAATGGAGCCCCAAGCCCTAAAACATATAGAGGTCTTTACATCCCCGATGCAATTCATGCATGAGAGGTAGACAACCCATTTCCCATGAGCGTTTCAGCATATTTGCACTGAGTTTAAAAATAAAATAAAAACATCCACTTGTAGAGAAATAGAAATGAGGAGGATTCCAAGTGTTTTCACACAACTTGGTCCAGAGAGGGAATTTATATAAATGTTTTAGCTAATGATTCTCTTTGACATATTTTTGACATGTTGGCCAACCTAATTCTGATCATAGGCTATCCTAATCTCAATCACTGGTGGATTACAAAACTAAGAATCCAACTTTTACAAAACTAAGAATCCAACTTTTACAAAACCAAGAAGTTGGCACCTAATTTTGCTATCAAGGGAAATGTGGCACCTAGTTATACTATCATTCCATGCCAATCAATCAACAACTGCCACCAATTGATAATTCACACATGCCCATTTCAAGTACAATAAATTTTATTTATTGCTCACAACTCAACATCATTCTATGCTTGAATGGTTACTGTTGAGAAATGAGCTTGTGTGTTGTGGCTCTCCTATCTCTTTCTTCTTGCGTAGTGAGGCAAAGTTCCTTTTAGCACGTCTCCTTCAATACACTCTCAATTGTAGGTCAAAGTCTCCCTTTCCTTCGAATTGTTTTCAACATCACCCAATACCATTTTCTTATATTCTACCACCAAAGTCTCATCAGGTTTTTATTGTTGAATGTACATACATGCATACTTTTTCAAAAAATGCATATCATGTTAGTCATAGTTGAGCTAAGAGATATTGTGAGAAGGACAATTCAAGAGCATAAATATTAAACAAGTATTCTTTGACAAATGTCACTTGGGAGAACTTTGTGCTTAGGGGACAAGGCAAGAGGGTTTAATTCTTAAATGTTTTGATTGGCTGATATTGAGAAGTGTTGTTGAGTTGGTTTTAGACTTTGAAAATAAGTCAAAATGTTATGAGGAAAAAAAAAAAAAAAAAAAAAATGAAGTGAATTACATTTTTTTTTTTTTTTTTTTTTTTTTTTTCCCCTTCCTAATGGTATGAATATTAAGAAGTTACATTCAAATATGCTTAACATAACTGTTAAAACAAAAAAATCAATCTTTATGCACTTCTCATTAATTTTTGAATCAAAATATGGCCTGACATACTTAGACTCATACTAAAAGAATATGTTGGCATTAATTGGAGAGTGCAAAGTGGATTTAAAAAAAATATGAAAACTGTTGTTACACATTGAAACCATGGGTATCTGCACAAACCACTTACCAAACAGTGAATGAATGTTATGCAACATCTTGAGTAGTAGGCCTGAAATTCATTCAAATGATGGCGAACAGGTATATGCATTACTGTTTTGGGAAAATTTCCATGTGGCCTGTGGCTATATAAGAGAATGTCCCTAAATTCAAAACATTTGATTGGGATTTTGAAGAATGGTGTGCTAGAGCCACTTCAACGGATTTGGAGGATTGATGACCAAGATCAAAGGGAAATCTCAGTTGAAGTTGACTTCACATTATCTCAGAAAAGATTAGTCCAAGATTCCTTCATTACACTGTCTAAACATAGTTGAAACAAACTGTACATCATACTGTCTAAACATACTTAAAAAGCTTGTGGAAATCAAAGTATTATTATGTTGGATCCATTTCACACTGCTGCAGCAGAGGTAACTGGATCACTTTCTTTTTCAATTTGAGAGAGAAAGGTTACCTCATATAGTAAACATGGATTTGAGATATCCTGAATGCAGAGCCAATTAGCAAGTATCTACACAATGAAAATAGCATGTACCCACAATGGCAATATTGAGGCCTTGGACTTTAATTTTTTGATATTCATGCTGACAGAAAAACACTCATATAATAGTGGCCTGATCTGCATTGGAATGAAAAAGTTCCTACCCATTGCCATCCCAAAGTTACATCATAAACTTGAATGGTTCTACATGGCAGAACTTTGCCCTGGGCAGGTACCAAATGAATATTCCACATCATTGGTAAATAATGTTAGTGTTTCTCCTGTCTCATGTAGGATGATATCCTTGCTCAATGAATTCATTATACCTAATCAGGTTGGAGGTTAGAAACCTTAGCAAGCTAGATCAAAAGATTAGAGGATTTCAACAGAATATTCATGTGATGACTGAGAGGAATGGAGAGGTCACTTTGAATATGGTGGTGTGAGTGCCTTTCTGTATGAGAGGGTTACAAGTGTACCTCATCAAAATCTTAACTCCCCAACACTCATAGCTCTATCAAATCCTGAACAATACTAGCAACATTCTTGCTCATGTTAGGGGAAAAATGAAAGATGTCCATGTGATGAATTGAAGCACAAAGAGATGAGCACAAAACCCTAGTCACAAAGCAAAGATTTTGAATAATTTCAAAAGTCTCAACCACATTTTGAAAGCATTTCTTAAAGTAGAGTGCAAATGGAATTTGAGGTTGTGAAAGAAAGCCTGTCCAATACTAGTGTGCTTGGTTTCAATACACCTTGAAACTGAAACATGATTAGAATTGTGATTATGGGGGTATGCAATTTCCATCATTTTCATGTTCAAGTGGCTTCTAAAAGGCTTTTGTGGTGGAATGGCAAAGTTGACCTGGGTATGATGAGTTCGCCAGAATGATGAAGATGGAGGCGACGACGTGAGGAGGCTTGGGAAAGATGCGATCCGAGCACCGGGAATGAGGTAAAAAGCCTACCACACCCATGCACGATTTGGAAAGGGGGGAGCGATGGAGGGGATAAGCAAGACGAGGGCGACGATGTTGGAAACCCCGCGGGGCCCTCACCTGTGGAAGGCTGAAAGAGCTCTCGGCAACCCTACCCAATAGGGCCTCATACCAGTAGACCTTCTTTTCTGGAGCAGAGCCCCAGTGCCGCTTGCAAGAAGAATTCAATATTTGAATGGGGAGAGGGAGGAGGAGGTGTGTTCACACAGGGCACTGCGGCCGAAAGCGGCACGGCATGAGCAGTAAGAATTGAATGCGGGATGGTAAGTTTGGAGAAAAAGGCGAGTAAATGAATCGCCGGCTGTTTCTGGTGTCGTTACCAAATTTAGACCCTTCAACCTCCGTTCCCATCTTCGTTTCTCCGTTGCACCGTTATCGTCGAGCTCCTGCTCCTGCTGCGTTCCCCCACGAAGCTCTTGGACATGCCATTGTATCTGTTGGAGAGGCAGGTAGTGTACCTTTTTGCTTTTCGCGCTTTGGCTTGCCAAATAGCGCAGTCATAGGGCAGTTTAGTGTGGTCAGACCTTGTTGGCGGCTCCACGGAAGCGGCGGTGGTGGCGCTTTTGTAAGCGGAGTGCGAGAAAGATTTTGGATGGATGGTTCAGGCGGTAGCGGCCAAATCTCCTATCACACTTAGATTGAGCTACCGAAGAAAGGAGTGTATGAAGGAGCAACCATTAATAGAAAACGGAAGATGGCTGGAAACAGGAGGTGGCACGGAGAGTGTTTGGTGCTTGACAGGGGCAACAAGCCATGAAGTCTGAAATATTGGAAGCTTCTGCCTAGATGCCATACTTATTGACGAGCGGGTCAGTGGATGAGCAGATGTGAAGGAAGGGCAGATTGGTGCAATTGTTGGTTGCTGCTTTCGGTATGATCTTGTCGCTGAGAATTGCTCGCAGAGTGGTATGTTAGTGTGCATGGATGGTGGATCTTCGCGAAGGTTTTAGGGCCTAGGTGTATTGCACGATTGGGTGCGTTGTTTGGAGAGTTTGTGGATGTTCGATTAGTTAATGGCAGGGTTGGACGGCAGACGGAGAAGGGAGAGGGTACGAAGGAGATGAACGGTGATTGATCGAACGGGGTGGTAGTGTGAAGGGGAAAAGTGATGTTGGTGAGGCGGTTTGGAGGAGGGAATCACACAGTCTAGGTGTTGGATGGGTTTACAGGTCAGGTTTGGCAAGTTTTGGAGCGAGTAATTGTTGTTGGGTTGGGTTGGATAAGAGGATTAAAGGGGCACCGACTGTGATGAAGCGCTCGGGGATCATCGAAGGGCTTAGTGAATGTTTGTGGAATTGGCCTGGAGTTGTGAAGCCGAAGGTTTCTGAAGCGCTAGAATGGAATTAATCCACGTCAATCGCCATGGCTTGAGCAGCGTGCAAAGTGCGGACGAGTAATCCAAGGATTGAATATGCATGGGAATCTACAGTTTTCGCAGAAAATGAGCGAAGCTGGTGGTGTATCTTGGTGGTTAGGAGGGATCAAGATAGTTTGGAGTCATGTTTCCCAGTAGCATTGTGAACTTGTTGCGGTGGAAGCGGCGCAATAAGAATTTGGAATTTGTGGTTTTCAGTTTCGTCGCGAGTAGAGTTTCAGGTTCTTGATGGGAATAGCTTTGTCTCTGTAGATGGCCAGTGAGGTGTTATATTCCTCTGCGAAGATGGTGGATGTGCAAGCAATGCCAGGGTTGTGGCCGGAGTCCACTCAGGCGGTGATGCTTGATAGGCGAAGACGACATACCACGGATCTTCAAGCGGCCGGGACTACGGGGAGGCATGTTGTTTCCAAAGAGAATACGTTTATTGATTCTGAGCACTTCAAGGAGCTTCTGGATCGCAGCTGTTCGGCTGACTCTCAGCAAGCGTCCCTTGCGCGGCTGTACGAAGATCGACAGGACAATGCTGTGAATCTTCTCAAGCAACAGCTTGAGACACTCAACTCAGCTCGATTAGAAGCCGAACGGCGTCAGATCCAGATTATGGAGGAAAGCTACTATGAGCCCATGTATAATGTTGGGGACGGGTCCACGCTTAGTGAAGATAGCCCTCGATACGAGCACTTTCTTGGGGATGACGGTCCGGGATCTTGGAGCTCTATTCCTGGAAGTGATAGCTGTTCAGTGGAGATGGAAGGAGATAGTTTCGGTCCCGCTGAGTACTGGCGAGACCGTGCGCGTGGTTATGCCAAGCTCTTGACAGATAGTATACGGAGGGAGGAACAACTGGTCGAAAAATTGAATGAGTATGCCTCAATGCCTCCCCCGAGTTGGCAGCCTATTGAAGAGATTCGAACGCAGCTCCACCGCTTTGACAATTTTTTACGGTTTTCTTTGAGGAAGGCGCCGGTGGTAATTGGACATCAGGTGTTTTACCAATCTTACAGGTTAATAGAGGATTGGAAGAATTATTGCTTGACCTGGGACTTTTTTTCTTGGACCGACACAGTGAGTGCACAATATGTATCCACAGGGAATGACAGGAAATTTAACGTTAAGTTGTGGGAAACCTTCGAAGGTGGCCTTCTTGTGTGTCATTGTAATATTTCTTCTTAAGGAATTCTTAGCAATCTCGAGCTTAGATAAATTCTGTTTAAGATATGTGGATTCTACACTCGAAATTAAGTTAAGAAATGCTAAATAATTTCAAGCATGATTTATAGCTGTGATATGGCTAAAGAGATACTGAAGCTTCCCTTGACATATCTCGCAGGACAGCGATTTGCGGTACCGGTTTATCTACAACGCTTTTCCCACATTATCGGAAGAGGTACTTTACAATCTTTTTGCTTCTCTATCTTTTCGTGAGGCATCCTTTTTCTACTTAATAGTTAGGGTGTGTTCTCTTGTGCATATTTGCTTGGAACCTTAAGTCTTTCGGCTTACAAAGGTCACACAATGCTTCTAAGCTTAGATTGGAATCTGTTCTGTTTCCTTTAAACTTAGGCACTCGTTGTGTTCAGATATCTTCCTCTGAATAGAAAATGGAAATAGCTCGTTCCTCAGTATTAGACTTCTTCACTGGACTTCTGATCTCTTCTCTATCACAGATATAGCATCGTTTACTTGAATGCATGCCGTAAACTCCTTTGAATAGTGTTTGAATTCACCTTGCTATTCAGGAAGTAATCGGAAAGACGGATATAGAGATATACAGCGGATCGGGAGTAGCGGAGCTGATGGACTTCAAGCGAGAGGTCATGCGGAAGGGGTGGCCTGAGAAAAGAGAAATTTCTTTTAATACAGACCTTTTTGGTGAAAAAACTTTCTTGATCGCTGTAGAACCCGTGCTGAGTCGGTCAGGAGAAGCCATGGGCCTCAATTATATTGCCATGGATATTAGTGAACAGGTAGACAAGCGTGAACGAATTTCGCGGCTTCGCGAGGAAGTGGCTGTGCAGAAGGCCATGGAAGCTGAGCTTCACAAAACCATTCATATTACTGGTATTTTTTTCCGTGACTAATCATGGAAGATGAAATAAGCTCAATACCAGGCAGTTGATTTTTCGGAGTGACATTCGGATGTGTATATTCAAAATGTTGCTATAGTCTCAATACGTTTTCGGTGTACCAATTTTTTTTGAGTAGAGGCAAATCTTGGAAATGCGCAGAAGAAGCAATGCGTGCAAAGCAGATGCTGGCAACAATGTCGCATGAAATTCGTTCTCCTCTGTCTGGTGTAGTAAGTATAGCCGAGGTGCTGGCCACCACGCAGCTTGACCAGGAGCAGCGGCAGCTAGTGGATGTCATGGTGTCATCTGGTGATCTAGTGTTGCAGCTCATTAATGACATCCTAGATCTTTCAAAGGTTCAATCGGGTGCGTAATATCACCTCGTTACTATTTATGCCGGGCATTACTACATTTCTATATTCTAGATTTAAAAGATTGTTTATGTAGCAAATTTTGTGCACCTGCAAAAATGCAGCTGATTTATTTGTGGTCTTACAGGGGCAATGAAATTTGAGGCTAAAAAGTTTCGACCACGAGAGGTGGTGAAGCATGTGTTGCAAATGGCTCTTGCTAACATGCAATCTAAGGATCTCATCTTAGAAGGACTAATCTATGATGATGTGCCTCTCGAGGTCATTGGGGATGTTTTACGAATCCGTCAAGTTCTCACCAACCTAGTTGGGTAATGCACCTTCAGACCCCTTCTTCCATTTCACATGCGATTTCTTCGGTTCATGTAGGGGATCCTAGCATGATACATGAGCTTTGACTCAAAAACACGAGCGAAGCTGCACAATCATTGATGCTAATTGTTTATTTTGTGGTTTTATTTTTTCTTATTCTTCCATGTGTGTGTGAGTGTAGTAATGCTATTAAATTCACACATGAGGGATCTGTGACGATAAGTGTTCGGGTAGTCCCTCCTCCCCCCCCCTCTGTCGAAAGGGCAGCCAAGAATGTCTTTCAAGCAGCTACTGGGATTTCTGCAACAGCTTCGGGTCACAGTGTACCCTCTACTGAGATTTCTTCTGGAGGTTCTCGACCGAATTCTTCTCCGGTGACTTCAAACCATGAAGCTGGTGAAACTTCAGGGGACGTGCATGCTACCGATAGCAATTCGCCGCTTACAAGCGTGCAGTCCATTGCTGAATGTGGAGAGCTTGCAGTAGGCGAAGGAGTTGAGGATGCTGTCTGGCTACTTTGTGAAGTTTCTGACTCGGGCATTGGCATCCCAGGTGAGCCAATATAGTAGCAACTTCCAGTACTTCTGTTTATGCACATTTAAGATTCCTGACTTGTTTCTGTATTATCACTAAGAAAATAAGACACATTTCTTACATGTATTACTTAAGCTGAAGCTTTTCCCATGAAGCAAAGAGCTGTTTTAGCTCAAGGCCTGGTCTCAGACCTCTAGGAAATAGAGCTCTTGCATCTGGTTGTGCGGGCGGGCTTACGTTGAGCGTCGAAATTCGATAGGCCTTGGCTAACAGTAGCTTGCTACTTTGCATCAATCATGTAGAATCGGCATTGCCAACATTGTTTGAGAAGTACACCCAGGTTAGCACAGCCCATGCCCGAAAGTATGGTGGCACTGGATTGGGATTGGCGATCTGCAAGAACTTGGTAAGTAGTATGTTCATGCAACTATCTTTCTGTCTTATGCAACTAATTTCACAGCGGGCTTCTAAATAAAAGCTTATTTGCTGAACTGTGTGATCACGATCATTATATATTATCGTTTGATTATATTAGTCCCAGGTATGTTTACCGTAAAAATATACTTCGAGAAGAATACTTTGCAGCTCGTAGCAATTTAGTGATGTAGAAAATGCAAAGAATTTGATTTGCATGCAATTGGCGAGTGAATTTATCATCTAAGGATTTTCTTAGATTATGTTGTTAGTTTACACTAAGTGTTGATTATGTTGATTATGTTGGAACGACGAATTTGTAGGTGGAATTAATGGGCGGCAACTTGACGGTGTTGAGTAAAGAAAATCACGGTTCTACGTTCTCTTTTGCTCTTCCTTTCAGAGTAGATTCAGGAAGGTCTAAAAGCTCTGGTCGACTAAGTGATGAGGTCTATGAAATGATGACTAATGAGGCGAAGTCGGAGTGTGTCAACGAGAGGTTGGTATCGACAAAAAAGATTGGTTACTTCCATTTTACATCAAAAGTTGCTTCATTATCTCCAACACCATCTCTGAATCCATCTCCGGGTCCATCTCCAAGTCGGTCTCCAACTCCACCCATTTCACGATGCCGTAGTAACCCATTGTCTGTTGATGCTCTCACGGAATCAAATTTCCTACAGAGAACAAAAAGTCATGGTGGTCACAGACTCTCAAACCGACGAAAGTCAACAAAACCTGTTGCCATAGGATTTTTCCATGATGGTTCACCTGAGTTCATGGATGTCGACTCGAAGGCACCCGACCACATGAAGTACATACCTGGCTTGTCTATGACACAGTGCCAAAGCCAAGCTCCTTTTGTGCATAAACAATGCATGGTTGGACCTTCTTCCCGTTCCCATCGCCCTTCAACTAAGGTTCGCTTGCCGAAAGTTCAGGCAGGACTAGCAAGAAAAGACAGAATGACTTCAGAAAGTTCTGTGCTTCCCCACTCAATTCATGGTATCCAGCACCAAAGACAGTCTCGTATATTGCTAGCAGAGGACAACAAGGTGAATGTGATGGTGGCGCAGTCGATGATGCAGCGGCTTGGCCACAAATTAGAGGTTGTGAACAATGGAGCGGAGGCTATTGAAGCTGTGAAACGAAATTCTTATGATGTTATTTTGATGGTAAGTGTACAGGCAGTGTACTGCACTTGCTTTTCGCTCAACGCGATATTATTTACTACTATTGTTGAGAAATGTTTTTTTGAATTGGAGCTTTACTGGATGTTTTCCTTCGCTTGTACCAGGAACGTTTGAATTTTCTCTGCTGTAGGTAACAGCGATTATAGTTTAGCCCTTTTTTTTTTTTTTTTTTTTTTTTTTTTTTTTCAACTTCAAGTTTTCCATTTTCTCATTTGAGCCTCTGGTAATTAGCCAGGTTTTATGTAAGTGGTTAACTCTTTTCTTGTGTTGTTTTGTTTTGTTTTGTTTTTTTAAATTTGTTTTCTGTTGGTATATAAGTTGCAGTTGCTTTCTCATTTTCGCTTTGCAGGACGTGTGCATGCCGGTGATGGATGGACTTGAAGCCACCCGCAGGATACGTCGTTACGAGGCAACGGGATCGTGGGAGGAGTTGAAAGAAGGAGATATGAATAGGAGTACAGAATCTAGTTCTTTCGAACATTGTTCTCGTGTGAACTTCGACAATGCACAGTCTCAAAGTTCTACGCGACAAAGAACTCCCATTATTGCGGTGAGTTTTCCCGTGGATTCATTTTAATCTCAATTCTGTTTGTGGTGCATTAATGGTATATTTCACATACTATTTTTTACTTGAATGGTGCAATGGCACTGTAATGATTGAATTGAGATCACTATGTGTGTTCTCAACATATCTAGTTAAGTCAAGGTGTGGCATACCGCAAGGGGCTGTTGTATTAGTGTCTTCTTTGCTCAGTAATTTGAGGTAGGAGAGTATTGTTTTACTGTTATCCAGCTTGCAATATCTGCTTAGATCCTAGATGTTTCCAACGACTGTCATTGTTTTCTGAATTTTTTGGATGTTTTGCGACACCTTTCCAAATATTGATGCCCAGTTTGCTCTTTGCAGATGACAGCGAATGCGCTGACTGATAACATGATGGAGTGTTACATGCATGGGATGGACTCCTTTGTTGCAAAGCCCGTAACTTTCAGAAAACTTGAACATGTGCTGAAGCAATTCATACCCTGCCTTGATAGCTCTCAGAATTCATCGGGTCAACTAACTTCGACGGAATCAGGTTCGTAGTGGGTGAGGCATATTCATGGCAAGGATATCCCAAATTTATCAACTACGATGGAGTAGTTGTATGACACGAAGACATCAGGGGGTGCAAATACACAAATTTTTAAGCATGAGCATCCTCTGAAAGCATGTTGCGACCCTTAAGAGTGCTGTGCACAGAATAGCTTTTCAATCACCTTTTTCTTCACCCTTCTGCATTTTTTCTGGTTTGGAAAACTCTAGAATAAATTTCAGGCCCAATGGTTGCACTCTAATTGGTGGGAAGCGTGTCTGAGCTGGATGACAATATCCTTGAAGGGCCAGCCCGTGGGGAGTACTTCCGAAAGCAGCTGACTGTATGATAACCGTCAACAAGAAGTTGGCACCCCATTCTTTTTGTAATCTGTAGTACACTAACTCAAGTAAGTATTAAGTAACAGCAGCACGTTTTGCAATCTGTCCTTGTCTTGAACTATGAACTATATGATGGTTTCATTTGTTGTGGCGATACTGTGCTCAGCACTTCGTGCCGTTGCTGATGCATGAGTTATGACGTTTGTAACTTTCTCAGGTCATGCAGCCTGAGGTGTACATTTTTGTACTAAAAAATTGGATTCCTCTTCAAACTGTACTTCAAGTATGTGTGATAGGTTTTTTTTGTCCTTCGTTTTCTGAAAAGAGAGGACTTGTGTCTTTTCATTTCAAGGTGCAATGAAATAACCCTATCAAATCCTAAACAACATTTAGTGGCTTGAACTGAAGTTTTCTCTTTTTTTCTTTTCTTTTTGCCACAAGAGTGTCCATATTGTCCACACTATTATTTTTTGAAGATCAAGCATTTATAACAGGGGTATAGTGCAATTAGGAACTAGTTTAATGAGAAGGTGGAAGGATACTAGGAAGGTAGAGCATAATTTGTGAAGGGTATCAATGAAGGCATATGGAACTTCACAAAGTTGCTTCTAGTTTTGTTCTAACTTCAACATTAATTAGTGAAACAAATTTTCATGTTTGTTGGACCATGTTGATTTCCTTAGAAATTTGAGTAAATGACATTCTTTTGATGTTTATAAATATATATCAATAGGTATATGTATATATATGTGTGTGTATGTTTATTTGTAATAAAATAAATTATTCCTTCTTTTATTAAGTAGCAAAGTACATGATAGTAAAGGTCTGTAGTCCACAAGTTGATTGCAATCTTTTTGTGTCATTATAGCCAAATCAAAGTTAGTTCAACACAAAATTAATTTTTATTTCAAAAAATTTCAATTGAAGGAAAAGATAAGAAGTATGATGCTATATTATTTAGAGGTATTAGTTCTAGAATAACAATGTGTAATTTTAGAATAATTTATTTATAAACAATATAAAAAATTTGGTGGTTTTACATTGATATTAGATAGTTCTATCATCCTTATTTTGTAGATTTGGTTGTAAATGAGAGAAAAAAATGGAATAGATGAATAGAAGTTGTAAAGAAATATAATACCAATTTGGAATGTCTTTTATTTACCTTGATGATATTAAATTATATATTTATTATTTATATGACAAATTATATTAGTCATTTGATAGAATTACCAATGTTTTTAATTGTTAGACTTAGGTTTATAAATATATTGAATACTTGCTTGTAGAAAATTTTTTTGCAAAAAGTATTTGATTAATAAAGTCTATGATTTATTACAAGATGTTTATTAGATTTTTTTTTTTTTTTTTTTTTTTTTTTAAATTTTTTTTATAAAAAATATTTATATCTAAACAAGAAGATCATCTAATCATTTAATTACTTGTAAAGTCTTCATAATTATATTTAAATGACACATTTAAAATACCACCAAGTGTAGTATCTATTTTCAATCATATCACCAAACATTCAAATTCTCTTCTAAGGTCATGGTACCTTATATATTATATCTTGCCAAATATTTAAAAAAAGACATATCTTCTTTAAATATCTTCATCTGAATTCTAATACTATCAAGATTAAGACAACCTAAATGATATATTTGGCACTTTTACATATAACAATCTTTGAAATAAATTTATTAATTATTGATTCTCCATCCTACAATAAAGTTCTAAGAATTGATTCTTATATTTGCTTCAACTTATTTTATACCATTTTTTATAAATGGTTGGTTCTTGGTTTAGATGTATGTTGATAAAAAATAGAAACCAACTTTGGTTTATTTTTAAGATTCTTTAATGGTTCTATTGTGCATTTGTTCTTATCATATTTTTATAAATATACAAGACATCTTAATTTATTTTGGTGCTACCTCAAATCTAAGATTCTTTCCACTTTAAAATATTGATTTTTATCTATTTTAATTAGAAATGATGGTAATTGCTTCACTCATGGTATGTTGACCATAATATAAAAATTTGAGATCAAGATATCAATAATGAAGTCTTTTGAAAAAATAATTGAAATTGTTTAGAATATGCAATAGTTGAAGAAGTCTACAAGATTAATGATGTGGAGTCTTTGCTCAAGAATTAATATCTTAGGATTAAACATATTTTTTGACAACTTTCCATGTTTAAAGTCATAAAAAAATCTCTTGAAAAAAAATTCCAATTTTTTTCAAAAATATAAGATAAATAGTTTTTTGAACCAATTCTTTTTGTATGTACTTCAATACTGATTAGGTGCTTTACCCAATCAATAAAAAACACTTCAAATTTTTAGAAAACTTAGTTTAATATAGAAAAGATTATACTGATTGGTGTGTTGAATTATTTTATTAGAACTTCTGAAATTATTATTTAATGTAAAATATTGGTCATTTCAAAGAATTTTTTATTTTGTATACTATTAGAAAGTCATATCCTATGAATAAAATTATCCAATTTTTTTTTGTCTTAATATTTGAGATTTTTTGACTAAAAAAAAAAAATCACTTTATTAATTAATTAAGAAAAAAATTGTAATGTATATATATATATATATATATATATTTATAAATTTAAAGCTTCTTATTCAGTTGTGGATTAATTTCTTACAGCCAAATTTAATAAAAATGATGCTTTGAGTATTGGTTGGTGATATTAAATAATTTTAATTTAAGAATTTTACATATGTATAGAAATCTGAATCTTAATACATTAGAATTAGAATTAAAGCTTTGATATACAATTGTTTCCATAATTTGATAATCTTTTTAACAATAATTAGTTGAAATCAACTCTTTTAAGTTAATGATAATTTTATAATAAGTTCTATAATGCCAATGTAATTTTAAATCAAATATTGGTTGAATTAAGCCATGTCATTTAAAATTTAAAATGTTATAAAGATGTGTAGATGAAGATATTAATATATATATATATATATATATATATATATATATTATCTTCATTATATAATTTTTATTTTTATTTTTTAATACAACATAGTTAAAGTTAATATATAAAAATAATAATAATAAATATTCTTAAAATTAACATTTTTTTTGTACTTTCAAATGTTTTTGAAGAATAATTTAAATTTATACAAGTGAACATTCAAATTTGCTATATATGCAAAAAATTTCAGAGTAAGTTTGTACAAATTTAAAATATTTGTTCTAAAAAACCTTCATAATGACTCCTTAATATACTAAATAGATATTTTTGAATACATTAAAAAAAGAAAAGTCAAGACATCAGCTCTTTTCTCTTTGTTAAGTTTTATTTTGTAAGTGTTGGATAATTACACTTTGATTTAGTTGTATTTTCTTTTATCATTTACAAATATGTAAATACACGGTTTTTTTTATTAATTACAAATAGTGTTTTATTTGATAATATTAATATATTAAGTAAAATCAAGTATTTTTTGCCATAATCATATTGACGTCTTCTTGGTTATTTATTCTTTTATAAATTTTAAGAACTTAGTTTGGATAACTAGGATTTCTTTATTTTCTTTTGATATGCTTTTGTATTGCTAATGTTCATGTGTTGTGGATTGTGATTGTTTTTATACCTTTTATCCTCATTTGTGTTAAACTTTTTGAAAACTTGTAGCAATGGTGTATTATTGGTATACTATGAGAAGGTTGTCCATAGTATAAAAGGGACATGTCCACATAGTAAAAAGAAGGTGTCTACCTAGCAGCTCTCTACAAATAATTTGCTAAATTATCTTTGTCTTACCATGGTTTAAAAATGATATTACAACTTTATAATAGTTAATATATTAATATATTTATTCTTAACAGTTCTTTTCTCCAATTTATTTGTTGTGTCAAATTGTATAGAAAAATAAATTGAATAAAAAAATTGAATTAATTTATCAATCTGATTCTCCTAATTTTTTTAAATTAAAAATTTTAAGTTTTAAAATTCTATATATATATAAATAATTTATTTTATATAAAAAATAAGATTTCTTGAAATTCCAATCCATTATAGTAAGAAGCTCTTTTAAATAAGATATTCTGCCATTTTAAAGATTTTTTTTTTAGTGTATTTCTAAATAAATTCAAATTTTAGTTCTATCTTTTTTATTTTACGTCTAAATTCTAAAATTTATATAATTTTTAAAATAACTTATTTTAAAATTTAAAACTAATTTTAATTAATAGAAACCGAGGTAGAAATTATAAGACATACATAGGTTTTTGTAATCTTGTTGGCATAGTTGAGGTCCTTTTTGGATATTGTGATGATGCTGAGATGTTATAGATATGTTTCATTACCATAAGCCTTCTTTGCCTTAGTAGTAAAGTTGTTGATAATGTTTGTTTTAGAGCTGTTTGACTTTTCTTATATTTTTATTTATTTAGAGATACTACATAAGATCCATAAAATTTTAACTTTTTAACAAATATATATTTTAAAAAGGCTTGTATGGAAAGTATATCTTATTAAGTCTTTAGACTATTCTATAGTACAAAATAGAAAGACTTTAAAGTTATTATTTATATTTTGTTTTATTTGATGAGAAAATTTTATTATATTTTTGATCTTAAGCACAAAATATAACATCTTAGTAATAAAAAAAAATAAAGTAGGTATGTCTTTTTATCATCTATAAAAACTATTGTATATTTTCATTTGATAGATTAACACCTAATTTAAAAAAAATTAAAAACATAAAAAATACGAAGAGAGTTTGGACAGAAGTTCCAACACCCCCTCTTGGACAAAGCCTAGTCTTCTTGTGTGTGTTTCACTAAGATGGACAAGCGTCGAGGTTTGTGTGACGATAGGCCTGGACGCGGGTTGATTCTGGCTCTTTGGGCTCTTCTGATTTTCTTCAGGGATTCCTTCAACTGGTTGAACTTTATCTGATCCCTGGACCTGTGGTGATGCAAGACGGTAAGACCATTTGAGCCCCCTCTGAAGCTGCGGTGGCTTCTTTGCAAATGTCACAAGTACATGGATTGAGGCAGTTTCGGTGTGGGTCTCACAATGTTGGCTCAAAGGTCGTTCAACCAGTGAAGTATTATGTGGTTAGGCGTAGGTACACACCCAGGGTGTATTTGAGTTGGTTGGATTGCAAAAAAGAGGTGAAGAGGTACAAGAGAGCGGATTTTAAGATGTTCAAAACTAAGGCAATAGCGGAAGAATTTGTTTTTGTTTGAGAGCTTTTAGACTAAGTCTGTTTTGACCAAGTTTGAACTTTGTTCTTTC